CACTTCCTGTTTCCCCAAAGTCTGTCTCTAATCTTCAAGGCACAAATCAGTAGCGTTATGGAATACTGTCTACTTGCCTAGACAACCCAGCTTAAAAATCACTCAAGAAGCTTGACAATGTCCAGGACTATGCAGCTCACTTCATCTGCACCGCACCTTTCCTTAATACATAAACTTTCCACACCACAAAAACACAGTGGCAACACCTACCATCTACAAGATGAGCTGCAGCATCAACTCACCAAGGCTCCTTCAGCAGTATTTTGCAAATGTTGCCATCAGCATCAGGACAACATAACTGCTCCCTCTGAATGGTAAAATTGATTGTTTAATGTACTGCTAGGTGTATACATAGGTGTTTTCAGAGTGGTCCACAATGCATTTTGTTTTAAAATACTTACGTTTTCCTATTATTTATAAAGTAGTTCAGCAACAGGTTGCTCTTCATTCCCTGAAAATGAATCCAATTAAATAGCACCTACAACTCAGAATTTCATCATTATTAACAGTTAAACCTCCTAACCAAAATCAGCATAATTCACTTTCAAAGCCACCATCAGACATTGACCAAGTAGATGGAAAACAGCAGCAAATGCATGGAACACCACCACCTGCAAAATCCTTCCCTGTCACACTCCATCCTGACTTGGAACTACATCCCCCATGCCTTCACTGTCACTGGATTATAAACCTAGAACTTCCCTCCTTACAGTGAGTTTACATACACCACAAGGATTGCAGCGGTTCAAATACAGTGCTCACCACTACTTTCTTGAGAGCAATTGGGTAGGATAAAAAAAAACTTTACTATGATGCTCATGTGAAAGAATGAAAAGTTTAAAAAAAATATTGCTGCGTTTAGTGCCCAGCAAGCACAAACAGCTTTTGCACACTCTTTTGTCCTTTGGTCAGATTTTTGACATGCTTCAGAAGTTTCTGTATTCTTCCAAGCACAGCACCTCCCATTTCCCCTCCGCACTGTGGATTTGGTGGTTCATTTTCTCTTCTTTTAGTTTGGATTGAGTTGTTATCCTATTTAAAATGGTCTGAAAGTTAGGCTTGTCTTAGGAAGTTATTTATCTTACATATTCCCAGTACAAGTTCAGATACATTCTATTTGTCTTAAATTGAGGTATGAATAAAGAAATTTTTCTGAATGGGTTCCTAGCAAATCCTTTACACACCTGTGTCCTGGGCAGGATTTCCATGGTCCCAAAAGGGGCCTAAATGGGAGTTTCTCCTCCATTCCCAGTGCCAGGTCATTTCATTAGCATGGATAAGGAAGCAGGACCCATAGCTTCCTGTTAAGAGGGAGCAGGAGTAAACCATTTAGCCCTTGATGCTACTCAGTCATTCAGTGCAAACACAGCTGATCATCCACTTCAATCCCTTTTTCCCAACTCTCTATATGTCACTGGTATTTAGAAAGCTGTAAATGTCTACATTAAACATACCCAATGGTGGTGCTTCCACAGCCCTCAAGGAAAGAGAATTCCAAAGATTCACAACCCTCGGAATAAAAGAATTCTTGCCCTGTATCTAAGTGGCCTGCCCCTTATTTTGAAACTGTGTCGCCTTGTTTGAGACGTCCCAACCAGGGGCAGCATTTAAATTGCATCTACTCTGCATCTACCCTTTAAGTATCTTTTAGATTGAGATCACCTCTCAACCTTCAAAACTCTAGAGAATAGTTTTCCCACTCATAAGATAGTCGTGCCATCCTGGGAATAAATCTGGTGAAGCTTCATTACAATCACTCTGGCAATAGTATCCTTCCTAAGGTAAGGAGACTGAGCTGCACACAGTGCTCCACACTGACATATATTGCAAACAGCTAGGTTCCAAGCAATAGGCAGCCACACTTGCACAGAATATCATGAAATCTAAAAGTTGCTGTCAATGATCCAACTTCTTTCCAGACGATATAATGTTGGAGCACTCAGGCTGCAAACATCAGGATGGTTGTCATATTGACAGAAACTTTCACTCTTAGGCTGTCAATCTTACCTACAGGTTCCTGGGAAAGGTGCATGTTACTAAAAGTGGGTTTTTAAATGGAATATTACTTATAGACACCCCCACTGACCCTGAAAAGCTCATCTAACATTTATGGAACATTAAACCTCTCCATTATGATCCACAAAATCCAGTTTTTAAGATAATATATTTTTGTAAAGTTTATCTGTATTTTGGCTTCCATATTATTCCAATCATTTCACCATCTGAAATTTTTACTTAAAAGTGAAGAGATTCAGTGTTTTTAACTTCCTGGTTCACTGTATCAATATTTAAAAGTGAAATAGCTGCTAGTTAATTTGATGGCATAATCGCTGCCTCAGGCTTGGATATCCCCTTAACTTAGAATTCGATTTAAATTGCTGACATGTAAGGGGACGTCTGTATCACAGAGAATGTTAGATCTTTCTGAACAGCTTTCTGCAAGGACAATGCTGAACACTGCTGTTTTACCACTAACCTCAACTTCCAGATTACTGCATTTACAAATTCTGATTCTAAATAATTTGGACGATCACAACTCAACTTGAGGTTGAAAGTTGCCTATAAAGACAACATCCAGTTTTTACTTAGTCTATTTGTTCACTATGATCAATCCTGTTTATTGAGATGGTGGTCTATAGTAAATCATCATCACTCTCCCTCAACCTACTCCAAAATTGTTTTATCAAGCTCTGTTCAGCTAGAACAGATTCACCTTCCATAAAATGTATTTCCCCTGCCTTTCCAGAACTTAGTATTTCAAAGCATATTCCCTTCCTTTCGAGCTATTCTATTTTCTCTAATGTTCTATACTCTTTTTTTTATATATTTGTCAACATCTTCTGGGATAAGTTATGCTTTTGTTATACAGCTGTTCTCCATCGCTACAACTTTCTCTGGTTCAGTCATGTATTACACACGTTTTTAGCATTCACGTACATATCCCTTGACAAAAATCTGCCTCTTCATTTTTCCTGCTGAACTGCCTGTTTCTGAAAACTGCAACCAATATTATTCTTTGGATTATTAATTTCTAGTATGTCTTTTACGGACATGAAATCCTATTGGTTTAAAATGGGATCTAGCCCTGCTCTCCTTTAATCTTATTTAACTTCTTCTCCTTTCCTTAGTGGATTCCCATTTTATTAAGATGCAACACATTCTTCCTTACCCATTTTCTCGTTCCTGGAATCAATCCCAAATACTTACAAAAATAGCATCATTATCATTATCAGCACGTTGCCAGCAATTTGCTTCCTCCATTTCTTTACCTTGGTATTTAATATACTCAATCAACAAGGAGTAGCCATCAACATTGCAAACAGAATGCTGATAGACCATCAAGAATATATTTAAAAAATGATGTCACACTAAAAATAAACGACATTCTGGTCAGATCCCAGCTTCAGACCCGCAACTTGTTTTGGGCATCAAAAGGTAAGCAAAATACAAAGTGTAAACCCATTAGATTGTTTCAATTATCTAAATAAAAGCGTGACAAAATTTGGCCCTGGAAGTAAATGAAAAAGGAGGCAACCTAATACTCAATAAGAAGCAATATCAAAAAGGTATATCCAGAACATTATAATAAAACATGCCATGCAAGTAGAACTAAGCAGAATAGTGCACACAGTATAATGATTTAAAATAAAAAGTGGCTGTTGTTTAAAAATTCCAAACATCATGCTATGAAAGTGATACTATTTTCACTGACCTGATCATCAGACCCTTTTATACTATTACTATTAATGTGTCATATTTAGGGGTAGACTCTTCAATCATTATGTGGGATCTTGGTCCTATAACACATGCATTTTGGTGCCCTTCAAATATTTACCTACAACTGGTATTTTGCAGCAATACATGTAAACATCTTTCTGCCAAAACAAGGCAGTAAATTAGAGCACAACTCGAGTAATTTATATTGATTATCTGACCTCATTGACTGGACTACTCAAAATTAGTTGAACAGCATTAGATACTTACATATTGACACAGCAAAGTGTAAAACAAAATCATCACTAGATTGTCAGTGTCTGTAATGTTGTTGACCTTTAACTCAAATAATAGCATTCTCAGAATGTAGACCATTAAATAATACCATTAGGACTGAGGAATACTGATTTATAGATTAGAATCTCTAACACTTACCAATTATTCTTTATAATCAAGTACAAAAAAAATCCCCTTCACATTTATATTGTAAATTTACTTTTTGAGGAGAAGACAGAATATTGATGATCAAGGGCTGAAATGCAGGATCGACTTCACTTTTTTGGTGTTCCATAGATTTTAAGTCAACCAAAAATCCTGAACCCTGACATCAGACAGCAATTAGATATAGACATTTCACTTGGTAATACAGAGCCTGCATATTGCTGAACAGAGAGACATGAGGAAAAGCTTCAGCAATATAAAAACCAATAGAACTGTGGATGCTGTAAATCAGACACAAAAACAGCAGTTGCAGGAAAAGCTCAGCAGGTCTGGTAGCATCTGTGAAGAGAAATCAGAGTTAGCACTTTGGGTCCAGTGACCCTTCCTCAGAAATTTTCACTGGCCCGAAAACATTAATTCCGTTCACAGGTACTGCCAGGCCTGCTGAGTTTTTCTGCCAACTGCTGTTTTTGTTTCAGCAATATAAGTTTCCCTTTTCAGCAACATGTAGACATTTGTTTCAAATATATCAAATATTATTGAATGTGTACATCATTAGATATACACAATTTTACGACCAGTTCACAAAAGCTTACTCTAAATCTTGGAGAAGAACCGAAGCCATGCTCATAAAAAACATGTAACATCTTACACCAGAGGCAAGCTGATGAACAGCAATGATTTATTTTACATATTTTTATGTGCGCTTTGCTTGAGTGTAGTTAACCTGATGCATTAACTGAAGACATGTAAATGTAACTGCAATTACCAACCACTCCACTTGATCAGAAATAAACAAAACAAAACTTGTTGGCAGGGTCATTCCACAGAACATTACTGAATCAACTTGTTAATCAGACCACTCATTCTCGTCCAGTTCTGAGTCATCATCAGACTCGCTGTACTCCACTGCAATCCGACGGGACAGAATGGTTGCCACATCATTCCCAACGGGCTCTTTTTTTGCTTCTTGCTCTCGTTGTTCTTGTACTTTTCGAAGCTGAATTCCTACAACAGACAATTAGTTCTGATAACAGTCCACAATTCATACTTTGCAAATTTAACTGCATGAAAAGCACATTAATTTTTTTAAAAAATGGTATAAATTTAATAATGATTGATAATTATAAGGGAGGAGTGAAGATGATACTGATTTTGAATTATGAGGAAATGCTAAAGAAAGGTAGGTTTGTTTTGTTTGGAAAATAAAGTTCAGCCTGCCCATTTGAGATTTTCAAGGCTGTGAAAGGAGTTCATAAATTTCATTCAGGCAAACTATTCACTAAGGTGAATGGTTCAAAAACTAAAATTAAAAATTAAAAACAAAAATAAATTAGGAATAAATTAAGGAAGTTGGGGAAACTGAATAAAATTTATAATAGAATTGCAGAATAAAATGCTTAGGAAGCCTCTTTATGGATAATATAAATGAGCTCAAAATGCAATGTAGTCTTTTTAAGAACCATGTTGCGCATCAACACAAAATGCTGGTAGGATATAGTACGAAAGCAGTCGAATGATGTTGAGTTATAACAAAATGAGACAAACCTATTAAGCCTGCTCCTGAAAATTCATAATCTGTTATAATAAACACAAGATTACACTACGACATATTTTAATTCACGATCTTCCAAGTCAGATGACAGCCTGAGTCAAACTCAATATAAGCAAATGAAAGATTTGATCAATGAGTATCTGTTCTATATGAATTGGACTAGGCATCTTTTATCTCTTGTTGCAGACTGGTTTGAAGCTGTTCATCTTTATCTCCAGCCAGAAAAATGCTTCCAATGTGGACAAACTTCTTTCAAACCTAACTGGTCAATTTGGCCAGGGAGAAATGTCCAACAGTTCAAATGAAATCAATTTTCCACAGGTCCTGAAGGTTAAGAATGACATACATCAGAGCTGGCATAGAAGAACTGAACTGTCAGATTCAGTAATGCCAAGGTGCCTTCTGTGATAATTCATCCCAAATTCACAATCTAAGCTAAAACATTAAAACTCAAACAGAAAGAAAGCAAAGAATGTCAAAGTCAACGGTTATATTGAGCTGTGATTTCTTTTTAAGTAAAGGAGGTTTAAAACAAAGACTATCAGGCTGTGTCAAAACACTAAACGATGTACGGCCTACGCTGTTGCCATGACCTGTGGGAGAGGTATACATATGAGTCTTGACCAACAATCAACTGAGCCACCATAACTCAATTTTTCTGAAATGAAATACCACTCACCTCTTCGAATAGCAGCCAGCAGGTCACTTCGAGCATCACTAATTGGCATCAGAGTTGCTTGGGCTTTCTTTATTTCAATTGCAGTGGGTGGCAAAGCAGAGTGCAGTGGAGATGGGGCTAAAAGGGGTGGACCAGGTGGAGGAGGAGGGGGTGCAGCAGGAGGACCAGGAGGTGGCGGCGTATAAGACAATGGAGGTGCAGGCGGGGGAGGGGAAGGGGTATACGTGCGGCCCACTGCTGCCACTGAACTGACTGCAAGAGGTGGAGTTGCAGAAATCGGACTGTCAAATGCTGTTTGGGCTGATGGGATGAGGGGAGGGGGTGGAGGAGGAGGAGCAGGGGCAGGTGGTGTATAGTACTCTGCCAACTGCACTGGCTGTGCACTGTAAAACCAAAGTGGAAATATTAGTCAACACTTACTTAATAGCAAAATATCACCGAGAAAGTGGAATAGACTGAGGAAATTACACTAAAGTGAAAGAAATGAAAAGGGTATTTTACTATTTTTCAACTGAAGTTTAACTCTTGTTGTGTTCACTTTGATGGAGGAATACTATTGCAGGTGTTAGGATCACAATTGCGAACCATAAATAAAATAAGAAGTTTTACCCAAATGAATCCAAATGAAGAAGTTACCAACAAGATTTCACTTTTTGTAACTTTTACTTCAACAAGAATCAAAGCAAATTACACTTTGAATTTTTGATACTTCAAACAAAATGGTCAATTTCACTTTAAATAATTATTATGAATGTATGATTTACACGACCAGAAGCACCCAATTATAATTATGATGCTGATAAAAATTATCATATTTTGGGACTGTAACTTTAAACTTTGGGTAAATGGAAGGATCATGTGACTTGTTCTGCATTTGCCAAGTAACTCTGTGCCATTTGACTTGGATTGTTTTGCTGAGAAAGTGTAAGATATTTATACCTCAAGATGGTGGCAGTGGTACGCCACCAGTAGTCCCTGAATCTCCTTAAGTCTGAGAAATGTGTTACAGGTATCAGATTGTAAACAGTTTGCTGATGCTGTCCATTTACTTCTAAAATGAAGACCTAGGATCAAAGATAGCTAATTAACAATTCTACACAGACTTGTAAGTCTGATGTGCTTTGCATTGCCAATGGGAAGAGGGCAGAGGAAGCCATTTGGCGATTGGGTTACATGCTTCCCTACAAGTCAATTAATACATCATCGGTACATAGCAGTATGTTATTAAATGGTCTGTGGCCATCTGAGAGGCAGAGGTCAAGTGATAGAAAGAGCCAGTTCTACACCTGAAGCAGAGAAAATGCTAACTCTTGTTAATCAGGCAGATTGCACGTAGGAACGTGGGCTCAGATGGAAGGGAACAAGTTCATAAAGATTTAAAATATGCTGGAAGATTCACCTGGGTCGATCTAGAAAAATAAATGTATAATGCAACCCTCCAAAGAAAATCACCTCTGGTATCATCAGATACAATCATCTGGACTAGGAAAGTCAAAGGAAGCGAGTAATTGAAAGCGGAGACTTTTTTTTGTAAAACTGGTTTTTGGATGATAAAGTCTCCACTTACAGGACAATGTAATGCATAAACATGATGACAGATCTTCAGTTATGTTCAAATTTGAAAGGGAAACACTTTTGCACTAGGCATGATCTCAATAAAGTTACTTGCAGCAGCACAGTCAGAGATAAATATTCATATTATATTGTAAAGTAGGAATACAAGGAAATATTTAGTTCTGAAACTAGAGTTGCCCTCCCTCACCATTAAATTTGATCCTGTATTTATTTGGGTTCTGGGGCCATTTTTGTTTGCTTCAGCTATGGTGCCTAAATAATGTTAGATTAATGATAAAAGACTTCAAATTTGTAAGAGAATTTTTTTTCTGAAAATACAACATTGCTCCCTTATTAAGTTAGAAGGACCACACATTTAAAAAATGAATACATTAGCAGGGAATGCCACAGAAGCAAAAGACATAAATTTGTGCAGGAGACAATTCTGATGAGAGAAAGAATTGAGGGACATAATATAAAAGTAACTAATGAGATTAATATACATATATGCTTAAATGAGCCTAAGAAATCCAGGTCTAAAAATTCAGGTGTACTGACTTTTCAGCTTGGCAGAGAGCAGATATGAACCCTATGTTTAAATAGTGAGTTCACAGGCACCATGATTTTGGTCTTGGATCTCATTTTCATGGAGCTAGCAACCAACAGCGAGTAACAGGCAGCTTGATAGTGAAACGTAATTATTTAAGTTACTAGGATTTCAGAAGATCTCAGGTTAAGTGAGGAAGGGACACGTGGGAAGGGAAAGAGCAAACAACAAAGGAGACCAAGTAGCTGTGATTTGAAGGATGGAATTACTGGTGATCAGATAGTGAACATGGTGGCAATTGGAATGGCGGAGAAGGGTGAGAGGGTATGGAAATTCAATGTCCAACAGGCAATCAAACTCAACAGGTGGACATCAGTGTCTATCAGGAGAAAATATGTGTCCTTAGATTTATAGGAAGGTGAAGAGGGCAGAGGGTGCAGAAAAATATTCTCTTCTTTTACACATAGAGTCAAGGGAAGCACTGTTCTGGCACTCATAATTGAATAAATCTGTCCTTCCTGCCTTCCATATTTCAGGATAAAGAGATTGTTCATTGCATATTTGAGATTTACGACTTGATTCCCTAAATTTTGGTACAACACAAAAGGTATTGGCAGAAATTTTTACAAGTGTAGACCACCTCTTATTGATCTAAATATATTTCCCATGGAATGTGTCTATGTTAACTAGACCGGGGCAGTACCTAGTAGTTGGGAAAATATAATTTAATTCTTCTCAGCATCTTCTGACTTGGTAAATAGTATAAACTACCATTCAAAGTGCAATTCTCATTGACAAAACATCAAGCAAACGGAAGAGTCAAAGGTATGATCTTTCCTTTCCTCGAATGCTTAGTGAATCATATTTCCATTGTATTAATCCCTACCTGTAGTCTTTAACTAGTTGGGGTCTTGGTCCATTCAGTGTTGCTTCCGTAGGCTGTGTCAGGTGGGGCTGCTGTGGTCTGGTAAGTGAGGCTTGCCGAACGTTTGTGGCAGGTAGTCTGTATGCACGATCCTGTGCCTGGGTTACAGCTGATAAGAGCTCTTTGTTATCAGGTGCTATACAAGAAATGGAGACAGCTGACTGTTGAACTGGATGATTGGGGCTGGCAGGATATGAAAGCTCTCCAACATCAGATGCATAAGACCTGTAGAGAAAATAAATACAAGAAAATGCTATGTTCTTGGGAACTGTTGGAGAATAAAACAACTGAATTGCTGAGTTTTATATGTGTAGCGTTTACTCCTTGCAGATCAAGATGAGATTCATGTGATTCTGTCACAGTCAGTTCATCTGCATTAATGTAGCAAAGACCCAACAGCTCCTGCACTAATCTCTGATCCTCCAAGCTGCCTGTGGCTTCTGTGCAGAATAGGGAGGATTGGCAATGTTGTTTGTCAATCACATGGTACAGCATGCTGCTTATCTTAAAGACAGTTTACATCATAAAGGAAAGTTGTACATAAATATTGCTGTGGTGTAATTAATTGCAAGTGAATTCTAGGACAGACAAGAGGATTCTAGACTGATGGATGCAGTGCTGCAGGACTCAGGGGTTCAGGTAGGGAGGAGCAGCGTCCATGGCTCTGCAAAGGTCTGAGAGGCCCCGATAGACACCTTCAGAAGGGAGTGGGAACAAGTGATGCAGTGAGCTCAACTCCAACAGCCTTACCCTGAGGACCTCGTAACAGTGCTGCCTCATACTTACACGTCTTCTCTGAGGAAGTTCTGAGGAAGGGTCACCAGACCCGAAACGTTATCTCTGTTTTCTCCTTCACAGATGCTGCCAGACCTGCTGAGCTTTTCCAGCAACTTTGTTTTTGTTCTTGATTTACAGCATCTGCAGTTCTTTTGGTTTTTAACACATTATACTATGTACCCAACCACCTCATCCTCACAACACTTACTAATGCTGCCAGTGTCACATTCATCAATCACTGCCTCTACATGTACTCCATTCAGCTCAAGCAAACTCATCATCCAAATCCAACATGATACCACCACTGGCATTTTGTTTTCTCTCTTACAAAGCAAGAGACACAACATAAGGGGCAGAGCAGAACCGGCAGGATATCTCGAGCACCTATAGAGAACACAAATGGCCAGTTGTGGCATGGCCCCAAGATGTTCCCAGTCAGTTAGACCACAAAGAACAACTGCATGTCCATGCCTTTTACCCTTTCTCAATGCCCAGTTCACTCTCCGCCTGCTGTCAAACATTATGTGCAAGATACTGATGTTGTGACCATGGATCTCCTTCTTTTCAACTCAATTCCCTTCCCTCAGCTTCTAAACTTCTGCTTTTCAAACAACTGGAAATTGCTGCTTGCCCAGACACAGCAGCTTCAAGAGGAGGAGGGGGAGACAGTAACAGCAAGGCCCGATCACTTCGTCTGACACTCTCAGCCACCACGGCACTGCACAAAACTTGAAGTCCAGGGAAAAGTTAAGATCACCACATTGTCACTCATCTGGGCACAAGTGGCCTGCAGCCATGCAACTGGTGAAGTGTGGTTCCACTGCTACTCAGTGGGGGGTGAAGTGGCAGATCAGTATTCTTGCAGAAAACTCAGATGAGGGCTTCAATAGACTGGCACGCAGGAGAATGCTGATGGGTATGAATATTGAGATGGTGGGTGCGTTGGCCAGTCAGCTCCAGCTAAGTTGGCAGAGGACACAACGCAGAGGTTTCCCTCTCCAAAATCCTTACTTCATCTCCCCATCCTGTGAAAGACACAGAGACACTACCACTGCTACCTCTCTACATGCTGCTCTGACCCACCTTATTTTTAGAATGCAACAATACTGGTCTTCAAGTCTAATAATTCATAAAAAAAAACAGTCTATAACAGTTCAAAGTGCTTCCAGATACTTTACAGTAGAAAAAGTTCCAACAAAACCCTTACCTAAAATATTAGCATCTGACACGTTAAATAGCAATTTCTCACTTCTTGTATGCAGAGTGATGTAGAACAAATATAAAGGAGCATATTTAGGCTGTTTAGCACCCCAAAGTGTGCTCTACAATTCAATGAGATCATGGCTGATTTGTGTTTTGAATTCCACATTCCCAGCTACCTCCGATAACCTTTGATTCGCCTGTCTAATCTATCTTAGCTTTAAAAATATTTAATGGCCCTACCCCCCGCCTTCCAAGGCAGCAAGTTCTACAGAGACATAGCGCTCAAGAGAAACATTTCTCTTCAGTCCTAAAATTGCAACCCTTCATTTCTAAACTGTGCTCCTTGCATCCGGACCAACCACAACAGGAAACATCCTTTCCATGTCCAACTCATCAACACCATTCAGGATTTTAAACACTTCAAATCAGGTCACCCTTACTCTAAATTTCAATGGAAAAATACATTGCTTATATAAGCATTCTCCAAATGAGGTATTCTGGGTCACATCACACAGGACCTGGACTGCATGAAGTCAGGAGAGCATCCATTCACAGTTTCCCAGCACATGCAAAGGCACATCAGAAAGTCACACAGTCACACATGAAGTGGCCAGCAGCACAAAGGAAACATGGAGCATATTACATCACCTCCTCAGCACTGCTAAAAGCTATACCATATGAGACAATTTCACATCCTATGTTTAATCAATTTATTTAGTGGATATTAATCAAGTCGTAACATACATAAGTTTGCACAGCCATGTGGTTGATTCTGAATTTTATTACTTATCTTGTGCTGTTGCAACTGCTGATTTTCCATTCTATCCTGTTCCTTCTGTTGCCAGGACATCTTGCCCTTCCTGCTGATAACCTTGCTTAGGCAGTCTCTATCTCCATGGTAATGAATACAGAGTATTGGGAAATTACTCTCTCATTTGTTAACCTTACAAATACACAATTATTACTTTATGAAACTCCATGGACTGTTCCTTATCATAAACTAAAAGTCTGCAATGTTGTGTGTATAGTTTTCAATGCCCATACCTGATTATTCTCTAATGATCTATCAAAGGCCAATTTTCTAATTTATGCCTTGAAGTAGTAGCGTTACAGCCTGGTGCACTTTGTTCTTGATGCTGGATTTTACAATTTCACTGAATACGCAGGGAGTTCTTGACTTCTGTTCGTACCAGCATGTGGTCACCATCAGTATGGGAATGCAAAATACCATGCAGCGGCGGCCTACAATCATTTCCTGAAATCATCTTAGACCTTCTTAAGCTTTCAGTTATTAATTTAATTCTTGCAAATCTAAATCATCATTCTCGCTATTCTGACATTCATCATTATTGAATAATGCAATGCAACCTAATAGCAGTAACATCAAAATATTTTGACTTGCTTTTATGTATATAGATTCATTCCTCTATACTTTTGATCTTATTTCCTCAAAATTTCTTTCAATCCGTAACAAGAGCTTACAACAGAGATTCTGCCCACTATTTTCCCTTATTGCTCTGGTTTTCAGTGATCGAAACTACACTATGTGCATTCTTCAAGCTATTACATTCACAATATTAAATAATATTAAATAATTATTAGATAATGTTAAATGATTTCCATTGCTACTAAAAAGGCTTTTGGAAATGTCATGTTAATCATCTTGAATGAGTCAAGGAATAAAATTTATTTTTGTCTGTTATAACCAGTCTACCCAACGGAAATTTATTTCTTTATCTCATGCATAATTCTATTTCTGCTTTATTGTTACTGGCAATTCTGCCAGCAGTAAATGTGCTACATAACTATAGTCTGTGGTCCTGATGTAGACACGTTTTCTTTTCCAAATAAACGGTCATTCACCCATTTCCTACATCTTAGTGCAGATATCGGCAAACTTTCCTGTTCTTCAACATTTTATCAGCTTGGTGGTGATATCATGAGGCAGACCCCACTCCTCAACTTCTTCAAAGAACTGACAACTCAAACAGACTGTGGCAATCTCAACTTGATGCTTGTTGACTTAAAAAAAATGTCTGAATTTCAAACAGAGACTATGAGTTAAGCTCAGAAATTGTTGAAGATCAGGATAAAGGGTGACAAAGGAGAAAAGCTTGGCAGAAGAGTAGGAAATATCACTGAGGAGTTATATGAGCAAAGAGTTCTGAAGGCTGGCTGCATAGACGGAGCTCACTGCTGGGACCACTGATGTATCTAATTTAAATAAATGGCCTGATTTCAAAAGTCTAATAAAAAAATGATCAAATTTGCTGATGGCGCCAAACTAGCATGGTAATGAACTGGCCTCAAACAGTTCCTTGGCTATCAGGGTGAGATACTGTAGCACACTGAATTAACAATCAAATTACAATCTGGGATGAATACCACTGCTGCAGAATGATATCCAAGCTAATCCACGGTCCAGTAATTGACCAAATCATGACCTCTGCCACCTAGAACAGATGCATGGGAAGACCATGACTTGACAGTTCTCCTTCAAGTCACACACCATCCGAAATAGACCTATATCACTGTTTCTTCAGTGTTGCTGGGTCAAATTCTTGGAAGTTCTTTCATAAAAGCATTGTGCACCTACAACCCAAGGTCTACAGCAGTTCATGAAGCTCACTAGTACCTGCCCAAAAGGAATTAAAGATTGTCAATAAACGTTGACCTAGCCAGTAACATCCATGCCCCATGAACAAATGAAAAAGGGCAACAGGGAGTTCCTGCTATTAACCTGGAAGAGTTGTACCTGGTATCAGGTGACACTGATCCTTCAGAAGATGCTATGTGATAGGGTGACGGAGAAAACCTGTGGTCAGCTCGAAACTCTTTATCGCGTCCCATCACATCCCACTCTGGTCGTCGGGTTCGAGCTTTACGAACCTTCTTCACCTCACGAGTGGCATCTTCCACCAGTTTCTGTTCCTAAGTGAAAAGAAGCAAAAAATTCAGAAATTGTTAAACAACACAGCCTCTGTTCTGCTGAGCATTACTCAATGGGTCGGATTTGAACGAAGAATAAAGTAGGAAGGGGGATGAAACGAAGCTAATGTAAAATTTTATTTGGGTGAAAACTCAGCAAGCAAGGATCCACAAGACGTAATTAAATTTACTGGGAATTCAGCTGTGACTGCTGGGCCCTAGGGAAATTCTCTATTTTGATTGGAATTTAAAAATGGTCATTTATTCATGAAAGAACCTGGGTATTATGATACATTAGCGGCCGCATTCATGTTGTGGGTGTGCTTTCATAGCTTGTTTCCTGCTAATCAGCAGTTGCCAGACAGAAAACTTGGTACCGTCCATACTTCTACTGCACATGTAAGATGCCATATAATGCAAAGGTCCAACATTAGCTTTTTAGGGGAGTAAGGTTGACACTATAGTTGTACTAACAACCAAATTTGTTCCAATAAAACAAAGAATTTTTATATCACTGGTTTTGGTACCTAGCTTTCTCTGGAATAAATTTCACTAACATTTTTTGGTTATCCTCATACACATGAAGACTGTCTAGAATGCCAGCAATTGTTATAAATATCTTCCCCACTGAGTAAGTTATGATTACCAGTCTTATAGTTCCTGTTTTCTGATGAATAGTGTCAAATTATCAGCTATGAGCACTTCAGTAGCTTGCAAATGCAACACCTCCAAATCACTACATTTGTGAAAAGCTCACAGTTTTCTCCACATTGAGCTTCCCACTTCAATTGAATATGTGACTCAAGACCTGAAGCCGCGCTACTCCATTCAATCTCTCGTGTTAGCAAAGCTAGTTGCTTTGCTGCCTGGGTAGGCAAGCCAATTTCATGTCAGAATGAATCAGAACCTGGAACCAAACATGTGGAACAAAACCTTCAGGGAAGCATATGATTTTTGAAAGGCAGATCTCATCAAGAATTCTCAGGTTCAAGCCACAGACTCTGCTTTGTAAACTGGCTCTAACCAGGTTGCCAGTACATTGTCCTCAAAACTAGCCTCAGCACCCCAGACACAATGCTCCAGCTCCTCGTACCAAAGCACAGACATTGGGAGAAAGTGGGTCACTGTAACAAAAAATGTACTTCAATAGTCCATGAGAAAACACACCGAAGGATTGTGTGTCATTTGGATGCACGCATCACCCAATAGGTTGCTCCTATCACCCACAAGAGAATTTTTTGGTAAAGTGGACAACATTTAAAATTAATTTTCTGAAGTTTCTGTTCATTGTAAACTTCTGATTAGAAAAATAATCAAGGCCTTCAAAAGAGAATTGGATATTTATCCAAAGGTTTTTTTCAAAGGCAGGAGTACCAGGAACAACACAGTTTGGGGGTGTTGGGGGGAGGAATGGAAATAAGTGAGTTGCTCTTGCTGACACTGTGTATGGGTCAATAGGTCAAATGGCTTCCTTCTGCACTGTAAGCATTCTACAATTTTAGGATATGAACAAATTTCAAAATGCAGGCTCCAAATACTAGTCATGCGGCTTTAGTCCACAGCACAGGCAGATTAAAACATTTTTTTTAGAAACTCAACATTAATGAATTTCTAGAACATTCTTTTCACAAAGATCTGTTCTGATAAGGAATCCCAAGAAGGAGCAGTCTACAGAATTGCGACTAACCAGGACACAGCAGACACTGGTCTTGGAAAAGTTGGAAGAATTGGGATTAGCTCCAGGAAAACCAATGTAGATATGATGGGCCAAATGGCCTCTTTCAGCATCATAATAATTCCACGATTCTGTGAACCTGCTCTGTAAAGGTCAGAAACGAATAAGCTAATAAAACATGTTTTCCACACGCACAGGGACACTGTCTACATGGTGTTTCAGGGAATCTTGATATGTCACGCTCATCAAAACAGTGGACACATAGGGCTTCAGATTCTGTGCAAGGAGCCTCCGAACATGTGAGTCAGCTGGCAATTGCTAAATAAAACATGATATTTACAACGAGATTAGCAGGTTCAGAGCTAAACTAGTAACAACATGCAGTTTGTGAAAGCTGGAGAAGGTATAGATTGGGGACTATAAGGGGAGGCAATGGCCTAGTGGTATTATCGCTGGACTGTTAATCCAGAGACCCGGATTGACACTCTGGGGACCCAGGTTCAAATCCCACATGGTGTAATTTGAATTCAATAAAATATCTGGAATTCAGAATCTAATGATGACCATGAATCTATTGTTGATTGTTGGAAAATCCCAGCTAGATCATTAATGTCCTTTAGGGAAGGAAACTGCCATCCTTACCTGGTCTAGCCTACATGTGACTCCAGACCCACAGCAATGTGGTTGACTCTGGGCAATTAGGAATGGACAATAAATGCTGCCTAGCCAGCGGCATCCTTATCCCATTAATGAATAAAGGAAAAAAAAATTTGGAGACCAGCATAACAATAAGCTTGTTATTGTTTTGCGATTTAGTGAGGCATTGTTATGTTAGTATTGAAAAGGACTCAGGCCATTCCAAAGCACTTTCCAGCCAATGACGTTCTTTTTAAATGCAGCCACTATTGTAACATAGGAAAGGAAAGATAGAAGCCAACTCACATACACACAATATTCCCCCAAACAACAATTTCATAACGGCCAGATCATTCTTTTTAAGTGATGTTAATTGAGGGATAAATATTATCCAAACATCAAAGATAACTCCCCTGCCCTTCTTAAAAATAGCACTGCACAATCCACCTGAGGAAGAACTCAGGGCCCCGGATTAATGTTGATCTGAAAAATTGCATTTCCAGTAGTGCAGCATTCCCTCAGTACTACATAGAGTGGAGAATCGAACTTGAACCTACAATCTTTTATCTCAAAGTTAATAGTGCTAGCGACTCATGCCATGGCTGACATCTGGTAGTGGTTCTTAGTAGTAGGGACAGGAATAGGAATCAGAGACCCCTGCATTGCTCCTGGCCCAGGCACCCAACGTGAGCAGTATAGCCCTCTGTTACCAGAACTGCTGTTATTAGGCACTGATGTAATTAGTCAGGCCCAGGATCAGAGGTTAAGAGGCTAGTCAATTGCAATAAGGGCTTTCAGAATATTTTTGTTAAAATTCAAATACTGTCCAATTAAATTTCAGAATGTCAGAAAGATGTTATTTAGATGAACAGAATTAAATCAAAAATAAAATGACTAACTAAAAAGCAGTCTTCAAGTGCACAAAAGAAGATATATGAAGACTGAATGATGATGGCTTCTCATTCCTATGGTCTCTTTACCAAAAAATAATACTCTAATTATTATGTCCCACTGAATAAATATGAAGAATGGGAATCAATTTTGTTTAAGATCTCAACACTATATACAATTTTGATTCACCCCAATACCCTTGTTATTTTTTTTTCTATTTAAAGCTTACCACATATTTCCCTATCTATTCCCATTTGCTCCATTAGTTGCATATAGTCCCATTACAGCTCATTGCACCACAACTGCAGCTGTCAGTTGTAATGAAAACTAACCAGAGGCAGGCAAAGGCAAGGCTTAAACTGTGGATCTTATTAAAATAAATCAATTCAATGCCTGAGGGGACCATTCTTCCATACACAAGGATGGGAAATTGCACACGTCTTTTTCAAGGAGAAATTTGAACAAATTCTCCTTTAACTTATTTTACCCAAGTAAAAGGTGTCACAATAGGTACACACGTGTCCCAGTTAATCTCGCCTCTTTCTGAGGTAGGTGGAACATCGTTGTTGCACTACCTCTTTGCTCACTCACACAACTCTTTATCTGATACATCAATGTGTGTATCAATGCTGCTGCCTATTCTCATCCAGAAAAATTCTTCAATTTTGCTTCCAACTTCCATCCTTCACTCACCTTCAGCTGGTCTACCTCTGACTCATCCCTTCCCTTCTGTGATTCTGTGTTTCCATTTTGTGGGATAAGCTGTTCACCAACATCCATGACGAACAAACTCCCATTTCCCTTGACTACACTTCCTTGCGCACTGCTTCCTGTAAGGACTCCACTCCATGTTTCCAGTTTCTCTGGTTCTGTCCAATCTATTCCAATGATGCGGCCTTCCGCAGGGATGTTTGTGACATGTCTTCCCTTTTCCTGTCCTGAGATTAACCCCACTCCCAACCCATGATTCAAATGACCCTCACCTATTTCCGAAACATTTCCCACACATCTGACCTCAACCTTACACTCCCTCCCAGAACTTCAGGGTTTCCCATGTCTTCATGTTCCACACCACCAGTCTTCGCGTGCAAAAGATCATCCTGTGCCTATTCTGTGAACTCCAGCAGAATGCCACCACCAAACACACCTTCCTCTCCCCCCAGCTGTCAGCATTCCACAGGAACTGTTCAGAATATCCTGGTCCTGACGTCATTCTCAACAGATCCCCTTCACATCTTCTCATGCAATCACAAAGTGTATTAAACTTGCTCCTTTATCCTCCTCCCCGTCTAAGGCCGCAGACAGATGTCTCAGGTGAAGCAGTGATTTTCTTGTATTCCTTTCAATCTAGTTTACTGTATTCACTGCTCACAATGCAGACTTCTCTACACTGGACAAGATGAAACATAAAGTGAGTAACCAAGGGCATGAAAGCAGAACTAACTAAAGTGAGTAAACAAATTAGTTTCAGGTGTAGGTCAATAGAGATGCAGTGGCAGACATTAAAGGAGATATTACACGATACACAGAATAAATATATTACAAGAAAAAATGTCTACGGGGAGGATCCATCTCTGTGGTTAACTAAAAATGTAAAGTGTCAAACTTAAAGAAAAAACACGTTAGTATGTGAAGGTCTTGAACAGGTCAAAAAATTTGACAGGATATGAGAAAGAGTAAAAAAAAAATGACTAAAAGATAAGAGGGGCCAAATTTGAGTATGGGAGAAAGCTCACTAGAAGTATAAAAATAGACAGTAAAAGTTTCTTTGGATGTTTAGAAAAAAGAAGAGTTAGTAATG